CGTTTACAAAACAAACTGGTCTGAACAAACAATAATCCTTTGACGCGATCCAGGACGCCACTTAAATAAACCATACACTTATTTCAGATGCTGGGATCCTTCTGAAGTCTGTTCAGAGACGCAAATGATCCGTTTAAACTAGATGCGTCAAAGCGAATGTTCTTTCACTTTTCCATTTGTCCTGTTGTCGGCTGACTCAAGTGTGTGGAGTATGTCAGAATCTGAATGCGCATCTGTATACTGTATGCAGTGTATTCAGTGTCAGTGATTATAATGGGTTCTATTTGCTTTTGACGTGACGCTTACATCCAGTGTAGGCAAATGTCAGCCAATAAGCAACTGAATGCCAGTGGGCGGGGCCTATGTTGAGATGATGTGTTCATCGATGTCTTGCTTTGGAGGCAGTCATATGCATAAATATTTGCCCATGTTACATCACAGACCCCGCAATATTAAAATGAGCTGTTTTTGGAGCTTGATTAAATATAAACTTTGTATGTAATGAGGATGTTTTAAGCTATGAAACTTGCATGATGTTTCAAAGACCTCTTAAAAGTCAAAAGATCAAAGCCAATTTGATTTCTCATGTCATGACCCCTTTAATGCATTTTTAAAAATACTGAATTATTGTATGCGTATTGATTCGAATTGGGTCACTGTGAGTTTGCAGTCCAATTCAAAATGCTTTTGACTCAAAATCGATCGACTATCAAACCGATTATTCACTGCTCTAATTAAAACAATCCTGCTTGCCCCATCTTTTTCAGCTGGCCGCTCTGACAGAGTCCAGATGCGGGCTGAACTTACTAAAATCAATTCCGTCATCAGCGAACACACTAGCAACCTCTTGCCTTACCAGTTCCTCACAGCCTTTTCACAGCTCATCTCCCGAATCTGCCACTCCAACAACGAGGTCTTCGCTGTGCTGATGGAGATTGTTGCCAAAGTCTTCTTAGCTTACCCACAACAAGCTATGTGGATGATGACTGCTGTGTCAAAGGTCAGACACCTCAGCCACATCTATAACTATAAATGTCTTTTCACAGGTATTAATTGTTGATATGCTTTTTAAAATGTATTTTAGTCCTCCTATCCGACTCGAATGAACAGATGCAAGGAGATCTTGAAGAAGGCCATCAGTCTGAATAACTCATTTGGGAAATTTATCGGAGATGCCAACAGACTGACTGACAAACTGGTGGAGCTCGGCAATAAACCAGTAGGACAAGACTGTACCACTAGTGAAAAAATAATATTTTAATTTCCAAGAAAACAGCCTTTATGCATTTATTAGTGTTTCATAATTCAAAATTCATTTTTTATAATCAATTGGTTCTTGAATTAGTCTTGCATATTATGGATGCAGTTATAAACTGTTTTTGTTTAATTGTGTAGGTGGATGGAAACAGCAGCACCCTCAGCATGAGTATACACTTCAAAATGCTGAAGAAACTGGTGGAAGAGCCCACTTTCAGTCAGATCCTCATCCCCCTGCAGTCTGTCCTGATACCCACCCTGCCCTCCACTGGAGGAGCCAACCCCAAACACGACGCCTTTCCAGGGCACTGGGTCTACCTCGCCGGCTTCGATGACACCGTCAGTCCCACCTGTTTCACCATTCCCCAGTTTTTTGGCCACATGATGCATCACATTCACTCTCATTTTAAAAGATGAATTATTCATGATATCATTATACGTTTCATTTCAAAAAGGTGGAGATCTTGGCATCCTTGCAGAAGCCAAAAAAGATCTCGCTCAAAGGCTCGGATGGAAAGTTCTACACCATGATGTGCAAACCCAAAGATGACCTGAGGAAAGACTGCAGGCTGATGGAGTTCAACTGTCTCATTAATAAGGTAGTAGCGTTGTGCTGTTGCACTAAATACCGCAATAATTGATTGCATTTTCCCGAGAACTTGCATAATAAAAATGCGCCGTTGTTTGTTAGTCTTTGAGGAAAGATGCAGAGTCTAGACGGAGGGATCTGCACATTCGAACATACGCCGTCATCCCTCTGAATGAAGAGTGCGGCATAATAGAGTGGGTCAACAACACAGCGGGTTTACGCCACATCCTCACAAAGCTGTATAAAGAGAAAGGTGTGCTGATTTCATAGCCTCTACTGATATACAGTGGACAGTGATTTAACACTGATTGTAAATTTGTTACATGACTTCTTTTTAATGTTTAATTACAACTTTGCACTTAATCACATTTGATATTTGTGGTCAGAAACTCACAGAAAGCTTGTCATTATCATAAAATAAACACTGTATCACTCTCAAGTGCTTTATTTTGGATAATGACCAGCTCACAGTACATTATCCTGCTTATTACATGGCTACTCACCAAATAAATTAATATACAGTACAAAAGTTTGGGGTCAGTAAGATTTAAAAAAAAAAAATTAATACCTTTATTTAGGTATTTCAAAGGGTTTCTATTTCAAAATAAATGCTGTTCTTTTAAGCTTTCTGTACATTGAAGAATCCTGGGAAAAAATGTATCTCGTTTCTTGAGCAGCAAATCAGCTTATTAGAATGGTTTCTGAAGGATCATGTGACACTGAGGACTGGAGTAATGATGCGGAAAATTGCCATCACAGGAATAAATGACATTTTAAAATATATGGGGTAAAATAGCTATTTTAAATTGTAATAATATTTCACAATGTTACTATTTTTACTGTATCTTTGATCAAATAAATGGATCCTTTCTTAAAAAAAAATACTGACCCCAATCTTTTGAACAGTATTGTACTGTATATGGGCATGAAATATTGATTAACCAATCAGAATCAATTTTCGATGTGCAAAACATTTTAAAAAGAGTTTATTCAGGCTGTCAGTGTCTCCATGAAGTCATTTTGACACAGTTGAGTGAAAATGTATTTGTTCTTTTAAACAGGGATCTATGTCAGTGGGACGGAGCTGCGTAAGCTGCTTTTGCCAAAAACAGCTTCTTTTGAGGAGAAGCTGAAGCTGCACAAAGATGTGCTGTGTGCCAGACACCCACCGGTTTTTCATGAGTGGTTCCTACGCACATTTCCTGATCCCACCTCTTGGTATATATGACAGGCTTTTTTACGACTCACATTCATAATATCTTTGCACTGTTGTATGCTATTATTTTCTTAATATTATCTATTAAAAGTGAGCTTAGGGCAATTCAGTAGAAATTCGCCTACATGAACATCTTCACACATGGGACAAATGTGGCATTTCACAGGTACAACAGCAGGTCTGCTTACTGTCGCTCTACTGCGGTCATGTCTATGGTGGGCTATATTCTTGGGCTTGGCGATCGCCATGGAGAGAACATTTTGTTTGACTCTTTAACCGGCGAGTCCGTCCATGTGGATTTCAACTGCCTCTTCAACAAGGTTTGAGAGGAAGTCATGAGGAATGTGTCTGTATAATTTGATTGCTCCCTAATACTTGATACCCCTGGGTAACTAGAACAAATGTGTTGTGTGGTGCTTAAGGGGGAGACATTTGATGTTCCTGAGGTGGTTCCCTTCCGGCTCACTCAGAACATGGTTCATGCAATGGGGCCCATGGGCACAGAGGGTCTGTTCAGACAGGCCTGTGAAGTCACACTCAGACTCATGAGGGACCAGAGAGAGCCACTCATGAGGTGAACATCTCACAACTTACACTACCATTCAAAAGTTTAGGGTTTGTAAGATTTTATCATTTTTTTTCAAGGGTCAAATAGTATTACTATTTAAAATAACTGTTTCTATATTTTAAAATGTAATCTGTGATGTCAAAGCTGAATTTTCAGCATCATTACTCTAGTTTTCAGTGTCACATGATCCTTCAGAAATCATTCTAATATTCTAGAAACAAGAAACATTTCTTGAATATTCAAGTAGAAATGCATGAGTATCTAAAAAATAACATCTCTGAAACCAAATATCTGCTCTATGTTGAGTATTTCGAATGTGCTTAACATATCATAGAGTATTTGATTGCATAATTATCTCTTTTATATTCCTTATCAGTGTTTTAAAAACATTCCTGCATGATCCTTTGGTGGAGTGGAGCAAGCCTGTCAAGGGTTCCTCTAAAACACAAGTTAATGAATCTGGAGAGATCCTCAATGAGAAGGTACTTCATCAATTAGTTGCTTCAGCCTGAATGAGGATGCATATCTGTGACGTACAGTATATCATATGCATTTTATATTCAGCTAAGCAGGATTGAATTATAAATAAACATAAGGCATTATTGTTGGAATACACTTGCTTTGAGTACTGTAAGTGCTTCATCTTTATGTGCAATTTGAGCTGTTGCGTTTCAACTATAGATTAAATAACAAGCTTAAGTAATAGTTGTAAAGAAATATTTCATAATTTGATTTTGTTCCACTCTAGGCTAAGACTCATGTTTTGGACATTGAGCAGCGTCTTCAGGGAGTGATCAAGAGCAGAAATAAAGTGATGGGCTTACCTCTGTCCATTGAGGGCCACGCACACTACCTCATTCAAGAAGCCACTGATGATAATCTCCTTTGCCTGATGTACCTTGGATGGGGTCCTTATCTGTGATGGACATTTGCACTTCAGAGTTTGAGACCAAAACTCAAAATAAGCTTTCTGTTTAGTTCCATACTTTTTTTTTTTCTGTATTTTGATATATTTGTCACTGTTATTTTCAATGTTCCTCAATAGGTTAATTAAATTTCATTTATGTTTCAAGAAACTTCTTTCATATGTGTTCTGTTTTGAGGGAATTAAAGGTAAAATATGAGCACTGGTGCTGTACACTAACATTCAGCGTTAGTTTTTAAGCACTAAACATGCACTTAAAATGCCTGCATGCAGATAAACAGGTTTTGATTAATATTCCCCTTTCAGCTGAGCTGGAGGCTTTATATTTCACAAGGCATGTTGTGAAAGCCTTTCAGTGATATTTCACTTTACACAGAGTGTGAGAACGTCCCGCCGCTCTCTGTATCCAGGCTTATGATCAGTAAGTGGTGATGCTGTGGTTTTGCGGTCTTCTGATTGGTTATCGTAATTATCTTCACACGCGCGCTGACAGCCAGAGCATCCCATCTTGTCACGCGCGTGTGAACCACCATCTCCCGCCAAACGCCTTCTGCCACAATCTGCTTCAGGTATGTATTAAAATGAGCGTTGAAATGACGCGCAAATGGAATGCGTTTATTTATTAGAATTCAGTTGGTTTTTTTGAAAGGTAAAACGTGTATTTCAAGGCGTTGCTCAAAAGAAATAGAAATCGAACGACGAACTGCTCGTCATTTGGCAGTGTACGATAAAATAGGAGTTCTTTCCATAAATGTCAGTGGCATTTTGGGTTTTGAGGCATTTGCAACTGGCTCATTACCGTTAGTACGACCTGTTATTGTTTATTGCGAATTGTAGAGTCATATAAGGCTCAATCTTGTAATAATGTACACGTGTGACCTATTTTATAAGCTATACAGACTGTCCTTGTGTTATCAAATATGAGTTCGAGTTAAAAGAAAATTATAAGTAACAGTGTTTCAATCTGAGAAGAATCATAATAGGGCAGAACTGAGCAACTGTAACACTATTCCTTTTTTTGTTATTACAAATCATACTGTATGTTTAGTATAAATACTAAGTTTGAGAAATATTACGTCATTATAGTGATTTAAATGCAAGTATTAGTTAGCCCAGCACACCTCAACATCATCAGATTGTTTACTTGTTATTATTACTAATTTGTTTTCACCTTTGTACTGCAGATATTTCAGCTGTCAGGGAGGGACCCGCATTATAATTATGTGAAATGAGTTTTTCACGTGAATATATTGATTAGCTGGTAAGAGCAGTTTTCATCTTGATTATTTGTGTGTGTGTGTGTGTGTGTGTGTGAGAGTGAAATAATGTTCAGTAGCCTACTTGTTTTGAAAATTGATTTGTTGTAAATTTCTATTGCATGTAGAAATTTCTCACCAACTTCATAGCCAATTTAGATTCAAAAGCATCAGACATTAAAACAAAATACTAGACATCCAAAATAATAATAATAAGCAATCACACTTTTATCAGGCAGAGAGAGACTCAACTGAGCATGTGCTGATTAAACGAGTCATAAATCTAGCTTGTTTGTGATTGAAGAGATGTAGTGTACTTAATTATTTTCTTGTTTTTTTTTATAGTTTCTGTTTATTAGGTTCATTGAAATATTCTTGATCTTGTAAAAATTTAAATATCATAATTATCATTATTTATCCTGTATTTTTCTCACATCCAGTTACAGTTATGTACATGAAAACATGGAGCTATCAAAGAGCGAAGACACTTCAGATGATTCAAAGAGGTCAAGTAAGGCACATGACCGAAGTAAATGGCCTGAAGAGCACAAATCTCATAACACCCCGAATAATGGATTTGTGAATATACAGAGCACTGATAAAAGCCCATCCTCACTGCCTGTGCCAGACACTCTGGACATACTCTCTCAAGAGATTAGTGACACACTCTCAGAAGGTCACGGACGACTCTGCGGCTCTGTTAAAAGAAGCAGAACCCATGACTGTGTGAGAGGAATGAGACTGCAGCAAACTGAGAGCCCTAGATACAAAGATGCGACTAACCGCCGCCATCACCATAAGCTAGTGACCAGTGTCAGCTTTTCAGGATTCGAGGCACCTCTAAGGTTGCTTCGTGAGAATCGGGATACATCTGGCAGCAGTCACGAAATCATTGATTATCGTAACCTAACACCTCAAGTGCCCTTTGTGCCCTGCATAGCCAAATCCATTCCTAAAAAGAGGATCTCCCTGAGGAAGCCTAGAAAGGCCATTAAGGATTTGTTCGTTCACAAAAGACACAAACATGAGAAGGCTACTTCACCGAGTACACCGTGCCATGTTGCAGGTGAAAATGTTCCAACATTGAAACGTACGAGGAAGACGGCAAGGCACAGAGAACATACTCTTGCAAGAAGCAGGTACAATGATAATTTCAGTGAGACTCCCTCCGATTCTTCCAGTGAATGTTGTGCTAATGTCTGTGAGGATTCTGCCTCATTAAAAAGCTTTGGATCTCAGGCTGGTTGTGGTGAGATATTTGCTGATGATCTTGTATCTCTGGAGGGCATCTTTAGCCCTGAGCGTGACAAAGATTCCTGTGAAGCTCCAAGGCGAAGCCCTACTACTGCAGGTTTCCAGGGAGGAAAAGAGTGTCTGGCCTCTCCAGCTCATGCTGAGGTCCTGGACATGTTTGGGTTGTGGGAAACCCTAAACAGAACTTTGCATTTAGGGCACAGCTCAAAAGCTACGGAACATGCAACAAAATCCACAACACCTATCATGAAATCTCCTTCCACATCCACGTCTGAAGATGTAATGGTAAATACACCCCAATCTGTAGAATCCGAGATCAGGGAACTTAATACTAATGTGGTAACTCCTAAAAGTGACAACCAAGGGAACACCAGTGATGAGGGCTACTGTGATTATGTCTCTCCTGGTTTTGAGGACCACAGCAGAAGTTCCCTCACTCCAGTGCATTCCAACAAGATCCCTAGGGACACGTACAGTGGAGATGCTCTTTATGAGCTATTCTGTGACCCCAGCGAGACAGAAATAACCCCGATCTTTGATGATGAAATCAACCTAACAGACAGCATTGTTGGCCAGTGCAGTGATTATCCATTATCCATGTACAGCTTCCATGTTGGAGCAGAGGAAAATCTTGCCCCACCTTTGGCTCAGGACTTTGTTGGTCAGGAGCTCCTGGAAAGTAAATGGACGGGGAAGGATTGCTTACTAAAGCTTTGCGACACTGAGATATCTCTGGCTATGGGTATAGTTAACTGGCTGAAGCATAGGACAGACAAAAGCAACCCAACAGAACTAAGATCTTCACAAAGTAGTGCTGAAGGAGATTTATGTCTGAGATGCAAAACCCAGTCAGCAAGGGTTAGAAAACCACCAAGAGGAGCAAGAACTGTTAATGGTAGAGGAGATACAATTAATTTTAAAGAGCCAAGTAAGCAAAGTGTTGGTGTTCTGCCCTTAAAATATGATGCAAACACAGTGATGTCAACCTTGGCCTCTCCAGAGAATCAACCCAAGACCCCAACGAGTGGTGTGTGTTTCAGAATATTCAATGTCGACTCTCCAATGACTCCAGGTGGAGATTTGCAGTCTCCAGTAGTAAGCTCCCCTGGCTCTGGGACAAGGTCTTTGTTTGTGTTGGCCATAAACAAGGAATCTCTTTGTGAATCTTGCAAGAGTTCCCTGAAAAACGGAGCTAAAGATCTGCACCTGTGCCGTTCTTGTATGTCCCTCATTGAGCATATCAAAACGTCAGACCTTTGGGCCCGTGCCAGTCTTCCCAGGTTCACTTTAACCCCGCAGCCAATAACCAGAGATCTACTATCCCCAGCCAGCACCTGCAGGATAGGAAGTGACATCAGCATAGCTTCCCTTGTTGAGCAGTGTGCTAGTCAGTTGTCTTCTATGAAGATCAACTTTACTCAAAATCACTCAAGCTGTGAGGTAGGAGATGTCCCTGTATCTGAGCAAGGGGTAAAAAGGAACAAAGGACAATCTCAAAAATACCTTAAGTCAAAACACAAGAAAAGGCCAGTGGCAACTACCGAGAGAGCCTTGCATGCTAGACATCGCTTGAGGCCGTCTAGCTTTTCTGAAGATGTGAAACCTTCCCTTTTGGAGACTGAGGGACTTGGCTTTGTCACTACTAATGCTTCCAATGATTTGGTGTTGGAAACGTACGGGTCATGTGCTTTTGAATCTGGTGACACAGACGTATACCAAGCAACCAGGCCTACATCTCTTCCTCTCATGGCCTCTGCCTCTTCTGAGTTTCCTTGCGGAGAGGACCACCACATCGACCATTTAAATGAGATGGCAGAGGGAACTCCAGCCAAAAAGAAGCATAGGTTGCGTCATCGCAAGAACGCTGCTGTGAATATTGAGGGATCATGCAGTGTCTTTCCAGAGGACAGGAAAGTAGAACGAAGATGCAGAATGAAGAAGTAAAGGCCATATTAAACAGGTGCTGGATTTTTATCTATCTATCTATCTATCTATCTATCTATCTATCTATCTATCTATCTATCTATCTATCTATCTATCTATCTATCTATCTATCTATCTATCTATCTATCTGACAGTGACAGCAATGCAATATGCAAATAAAATATTTAGAATTTTTCAATTTATTTAAAAAAATTATTTTATAAATATTTTGTTAAAATAAATATAATTATGCTATAATTGGAACATGCATTTAAATGTTTTTTTTATTTTAGATCCATGTCACACTCAATGTTCCCTCTAAGCTGCGCGCGCGCGTGATTAAAGTGGTGGAAATAACGGTTATGGACACAGAACGGTAACAATTACACACCCACCCGCGTGCAAACTCAAAATACATAGTTTAAATAGATGTTTTTGTCTGTGGGGGAGTTTCAGGGATGGTTAGATTTTAAAAGATTAGATTATATTCATTTTTCTTGAAAATATTTAGCTATTATATCTATTTAAATGCTTTGTTTTCATAATAATATAATATGTTAACAAATTTAAGCATTTAAACTGATATATTATATCACTTCAAATACTTCAATTCGTTATTTTTATATTATATTATGCCTATATTTTATTATATTATAAGCCTAAATAAAGAATCTCACAAGGGTATTGTTTAGGGCTCCTTGCCATTAAAAAGTTTGAAACCCCCTGCTAAAGAAAATATTGGAAATTCATAAGCAATAAACAATCATTTAACTTTGATGGTTTAATGCTTCCTGTACTCAATTAATTGACTGTACAAAAACACTCTATGGATTTCTCAAACCATCTCAGTGTAACAGCTTACTTTTCTTTCATACTATATTCTATTATTGTAAAGAATTGAACTGTACTGCAGAAGATTTTGTAAATTATTTTTCATAGGATTTCTTGGTAAAGACTGTACAGTTAACAGCACTGTAAAAAAATATCAGGTAACCTAAAATGTGCTTCATTTAGTGACTTCTTAATTAACTGCTTGTTTTTTCGAAAATATGATTTAATACCAATAAGTTACATCAAGGGTCAAATAAAATAGAAATGGCACATTCAAGTTAAAAGTTACAACTGAATGTTGAAACCATTGTGTTTCTACACTGTACAGGTCAGGTGTAAAGAATATTTTTGCTCAGGTGGCGAAAAATATCCGCCCAATAGAAAAAAGTTTTGCTCAGCCAGCAAGAAAAAAAATTAGAGGGAACATTGGTCACACTGCAAGACACCGCTTCATGTCATGTTGACTACCCAGTTCTTTAATGTTTTTATTAAACATTTCCAAGGCTCTAAATGGCAAGTGTCTTGTTGCACGCTCTTATTGTGGTTTAGGACATTTGGTCTTGAGTCTTGACATGCATAAAGTAATGCATACTGTACATTTACATGTATTTGCTTGCTTTGTAGCTGTCCAAATCATTGCAATGTTATTGCAAGAAAAATAGAGCTGAGAAAAGTTGCATTATTAATGACTGTAGGGGTGCTTGAGAAGAACCTGTGCTAGTGATCCCTCAGAGGGAACATGTCACTTAGTCCTTCATCCCCTCTCAAATTCTCACATGGCTTGCAGGTATACTCACAGCAAGCAAATTCTCCTTCATTTCACTCACAAACAATGGCAAGGTGAACAAATTGGCATGCTGTACTGTACAGGCTGTCAAGGGCTGCATCAGAGCATAATGAGGTGTCAGACAGAAATACACACAACCTGTGATGCTTTATATATATATATATATCCCACCATCTTATGCTCTTTAAAGCTTGTTCAATGTAGTATATTATGTAGTTCAGTGTTGTTTTGCGCTGCCTATCACAACAGCGCAGATGCACAATATTACAGATTTAAAACCTTTAAAACCTCTTCTCTTAATTACATCATAAGGGGTGAGTGGTCACTGTTTTGTGCTTGTGTCAGGGGAAGTGTTTGTGTCTCAGCGTTTCAAGGCTTTCTGGGAATTATACTGCTGTAGCTGCATGGGTCAGCAGACGTGCTTGAAGACTCTCATCTATGGGTTGTTTGGTGTGTGCGTCACTGAGCATTGATGGACTGCATTTGTAATTAGGATTTCAGGGGAGGGAAGAGTTTTAGTCATTTGGTCTATTATTAGAAGAACTCTCATGCAAACTATACCACAAAAAAAAGAGCTGCACTGTCTACTGATATACGTTGCAATGGATACTTTGAAAACGACAGTAAGCAGTGGATTTGTTCCTTTAGAAATGACTTGCATAGCAGCTTCAGAGTTATACAGTAGTTCTCTTGGCGAGAGTGTTTGGGGTATATTAATGAGCACTAAGGGTAGCAGAGCTGCTTTAGTGCTTCAAGGTCAGATATCCTCCCTACATTTCTGTGTCTTGTTATATATTTCAGCTGATATCTTGAAACCATAGCAACAGCACATAGATGGGAAAGCTTTCAGTATATCGGCAGTGTACCAGCATGAGAGTGGAGATTGTATTGTTGTGTACAGCTTACATCATCACAGATTACGTTTTACACTAGAATACATTACAGAAATGAAGTCGTAAGGCTCTGATGCTGCACTGGCTACAGTTCTTTCATGCAATTGTTTTATGCGTCTCACATGTGTAGGGTTGTTTTGATGATGTTTTGCTAAGATGTTTTTGGTGATTAGGACTTGTGTGTCTAAAATAAGAACGTATCATATGACGTATGATAATTAATAATTTAAAATCAGAATATTGAAACAGAAAGTAAATGGAATTTGAGGAGAATAGCTTGTAAATAATTAAATAAGGCTGTCTGACACACACACACACACACACACACACACACACACACACACACACACACACACACACACACACACACACACACACACACACACACACACACAAACAAACAAACAAACACACACACACACACACACAGAAAAGACTGCAGGTTGTTACATGTACCTTCACTCAAGGAACGTGTGATTATCATGTGAATCTTCTAGATCAGTGGTTGTCAACCTTTTTGACTTAAAGTCCCCCACTTTGCAACAAAATATATTTACTTAAATATTTATTCTGGTCTTTCTGCTGTAATTATGACAATGTTGCTTATTTTCAAACCTTCAAACTACATTAATTAAACACAATACATTTTGTGATTCTTAAGGTGGTGATACACAGGGCAACATTTTGAGCAATGTTGCTGGGCAATCTTGCCGAGTGATTGTTGCTTGGGCACTTTCCCATTGAAAATGGGAAATACATTTCTATCTGGATAATTTAGATCGGTCATGGACCCTGTGTCTCATCTGGTTGCCCGTTGACGGCAAAATTGCCCAGCAGCATTGCTCAAAAAGTTGCCCTGTGTATCATCACCTTTAAAGATGCTGATTACACTATATATTTAAATGAAAATAATAGTTATTGAGGGGGAAATAATTCAATTCAACAAAGTCCAAGAACAGTTCAGTGTACAACTTTACACATAGAAATGTATTTCCTTAACAGGAAATGCAGTTGAATTTTGGCCTGCCCTGAGGTATATTGCTCGTATTATTTTGGATAGTTATATCATGGTCTCGGGGTTGAACATGAGTAGTGAATGGTCTATTGACATACTTTTATTTCCTGTACAGCTCTCAGTGGATCTTCGCATAGCAGACAGCTGTTTTCTTGCATCTGGAAAATATGAAAGCGTGTATTCAGTCTAAGCCGCCAGTGACTTGCAGCACACTGGGGGGCACAGCTCTGCCAAACATGTTTTATTATGGGATAGTAGAGGTGGACATGTTTGTTTTTAATTAACCTTGATAAGAATGAGAGGATTACAGATTAAACCGTGTTATTTTTACATTGCAAAAGTACCGATTGGCCACTATGTGGCAGTAGACATTTGACAACCTGTGCATGATTACAAAAAACCCAGTGTGAGCTTGAACAGAATGTTTAAACCACCTGCATTTCTTCACCAAATTCAGTCTAAGCCTGTCTGTATTTCCTCATACATTATCTTCCATCAGAGCAGGCCATTTTCTACGCATGCTTGTCTCATCTGATGCTGCTCTCTAGCAGTTTCGGCTTGCAGCCAGAGGGGAAGAGGTTCATGTTGGCTTTGACTGGTCTATAATCCATCAGTGTGCTCCTGGGAGTGTTCTTAGCAACCCGGGAGCCACTACAGAGCAGATGTATAGAGCTGGCTGACTGCTACCCATTGAGAGAGGTGATGCTGAACAGGACTCTGTTCCGTTTTCTGGCTTAGGGAATAACGAATAAGCCTCATGCTGTTAGTTTGGTTGCATGACACTATGGACGATTTAGTCCAGTGATGTGGGACACAATGGGGGACTGTGTCAATATTGAGGGATGGAATTAGTTTTTCGTGCAGGACATTGGGATGGAAAGGATATAGACTTCACTGCTAGAACTGTAGACCCTTGATGCTTGCATAAAACAAAGTATAGAGTCATTTATCTGGTGCAGCTGCTTCAAATAATTCGCAATGACGCTTTAGATGTTGAAAGTGAACTAGATGAATAATAGAATCACAGCATGAATCTCACGGAAACTGTCACAACATATTTCACCCCAAAATCATATGAAAATGAGAAATTATATTTTACATAAAGAAAAATAAAGGACATCTTTACATGACGATTAGAGATGTCCTGCCTAAATTCTCATTCTCAATATTGTAATGTGTAAAAATGTATTATTCAGTCTTTAAATTGTAATGTGTTGTACTTTGTTTAAATTGAAAATCGAAAAGTACAAATGTAATTATAAAGGTACATCACTGTATTGGTTGTACTGAATTTAATTTATGCTAATTTATAAAAGAAAATTGTATGGATGATTTTTATACTCTACATTAGATTAATTTCTTAATATATCTTAATTTGAAAAAAAAAAGGAAGTTGTTTTTATTTTTGGTGTCTTATTTAATTATTTATTTGCATTTCTTGGTGAGATTCAACCTTTGAGCTACTTCTACATGTTCTTCTTATTATTTCTCCTGTACAGATTCAGATTTTGTGGATCCTGACGGTCTCAAACTGGTTTCTTCTGTCCAGTACCTCAGCCCTCCGAGAAGCTGACCTCTCTACCAGCTGTCAAAGTCTCTATCTTTCCTCAAGAAATCTGACATGTTTGCTCATTTTACTGTCAACTCAGCAACACTGTCAGCCTGGAACAACAACAGGTCTGTTGATCTGTTTGTTGGAGAAGTAACATTTGTCTGAAACCTGTCGTATCAGTGTTTTTCTCTCTCCATAGTTTTTCTGCAATCACTGCTATTTTTTATTGCAAGTTTATTACTGGTGTTTTCAAACCAAGGATCAAAGACATACCAGTGCAATAACTATAACACTTTATTAATGTCCAACGGACACATTTTAAACTGTTGTCTTAATAGAGAAAACTTTTTGAAACTACAGTTCACATGTTCACTTACGGAATTTAAAATACATTGTGGGAAGTTATACTTGGGTTGTTTTTGCATATCAAAACAATCTGACAAGCTATTTGAAAAGCTCTATTCTGGAGTTTGGAAGAGAAAAAGCCAATTTCTTTGAAAGGATTGGGACAGCTGGAGACATTGCAATGGAATCAAGTTTGCATTTTCATTTGTCCAATTAGAGTTTAAAACGGAGACGAATAATTGTGTATCAGTGAATAAATGAGGTAAAGTAGGCCTTTGAAAGAACGCCTCTGATCTGGCTGATGTGACCAGAATTGATGAGTGCTACCAAAAAAAGGCTCCATTCATACATAGTAGGCCTCTTCACAAAGGCGGCAGGTGGCACTTTTACTTGTCGTCTTTGTCCATTTTGGAATGCAATTCTGCCAGTTCGGCCCTATTTTTTTTAACTTGGTAAATATTTCAACTCAACAACTAAACCTAGACCGCAAAAGTCCAGCTGGGGTTGTTTTTGAACAGAATTCCCATAAATACAACCCCTGGTATGACTATTTCTATATATGTCTTCACATCTTTGAGCAGACAGTTATCTGCTTAAATATAGACATCTGCACATCTATATTGGGGTAGATATCTGTTAACATTGAACTTAACTATTTGGGCCATTATTATTCTCTTAATGGTGATGGATGTGTATATAAATAAACCAAAATTTCATATTTTGAAAGGATAAAATCTAAGTTGGATACCAAGGAAATGGTACCTTATAGAATTGTCTGTATATGCATGCAATCATTGCTCTAATCAAAAGTAAGCCAATTTCGAAGACGCCCTTTCTGCCAAAACCTATAGCAGCTATTAGTGAAGTATTATATTTCAGGGCCTCAACCTGTTTTCCATTAGATCAGCATCAACCGTAACAACATCTGGTACAGGGTGGGTGTCAGTATAAGGCAATGATAATCCTCAATAAAAGCACTGTAGTTTGGCATTAAAAATGTTAGCATTGAACAGAAGCTTTTCAGATAGCTTACTTGTTTTCATATTATTTGATACTTAAATTGGTCAAATTGAATTGTTATATCTGCGTCGCTGTATTTCTTGTAAAGATGTGATTATATTACTTCTCAGGATAAGCTGTCAAAATCCAAGAATTAGATACAGATAATAGCATGAAAGACTGACAATATCCTAACAATATGAATGACTATATTGCAAAACGAATGTGTTGCATGATATTGTAGGCTATAAACTATGTAAAGTGCAGATATTGTTGGAATGGAGTATTTAAAATAAAAACAGTTATTTTGTCACCTCTTAGTGCCATTATATTCTTTTCAAGACAGGGCAGCTGACAATTATCATAGTTCTGTGCAATATTTATATTGATGTGCTTGCCTGACTGGAGTATTAATAAAAACCTATTTATGAATCCATGTGCATTTACATTGTCTTTTTGTATTAGTGGTTGATTTCAAACTCAGATGTTGGCTCTTTTCCAAAGCAGATGAGCTGAGGTGTCAGCACTGTATGTATTGACTAGCTCAGACATTGCTTAATAGACAGAACAATAGCAAAGCAAACAACAGTAACCGAACAGAGCCCTGTATCAGGCCTGGCGCCGGCTGTGCTTTAAGACAAAATCACATCAACAAGTCTGGGATTGAATGTGGGTGTAAAACGACTTTGCAGAGCCATTAACTTTAACTTTTTCCTCTAATCACATTACAATAATGTCATGTAATACAATAAAGAACTTAATGTTTTTATGTCCAGGGTTTACAACCAGAGGTCTGTGAACTTCACAGAAGATACTGCATGGGGACAGGGGGTTTAAATCTTTAATTAAAATGTAATAATAATATTTAATGTTTTTAATAAAAGTTATCATAAAGTGTTATATTGGGGTCCCTGTCTGGATGAGGGTCCTTGGATAGGCTATGTGAAATAACTCAGAAAGAATACAGCTTTTTGGTATTGTGGCTCTTTACAGACAAAAAACAAACAAACACCTATTATTGTATAATTATAGCCTACTTAAAATACCAATTGACCTCATATAATTCACACCGCATTCTGTACTATAGTTGTTTACAGTGCAAGCGAGTGTTTTAGTTTGTCGCGTCGCGCTGTTTGCGTAAACGAAGTCTTTGATTGGTCCATTGGGTGTTGACGTCAGAATTCCGTCTACAATTCACGCTCGAATGCTCGCAGTGTACTCAGATTCGCCGTTCATAATGGGTGCGTTCTGGTTTGTCTCGTCGCGTCGCTCGTTTACGGTGTAGTGTACAGTTGGAGGAGGTGTTGGATCTGAAACTCTGCCTCCTCTCCCCCCCTGACTGTCACCGACAAACAACGTGGGACGCTGGAATTTGTTATACCACACCAGAGACTTTTGCACTGCTTTTTATACACCGTCGCGTCGCAAGTACATCTCGCTTTTCGCGGAGCTGGAAAATATGTGTTAACCACTGACAGCGATGAAATAAACATTGCACTATCACCTGCGGTTGAGTACACACAAATGTCATGCACTGTTCAAGAGCCTTTGCCTTCTATGACATTCAGATGACTTAATAACAACCAACATGAAGCGGACAGGTACAGTTAGCACGTTTTGCCTGTTTTAAAGAACTTTTAAACTTGTTGAAGTCATTGTAAACATGGAAGAGTCTGACGCTGGGAACGGTACTGGGACGCATGGCTGTGAACTGGAGCGTTCTGCTGGAGACGGGGGACTGGATGAGGTGCAGATGCATCTCGCCTGCTTACCGGAGCGATACATGACGGCTAAGTTTTCCCTCTCCGCCTACATATTTTGTTGGACAGTTGTGAAGTTGTGTCAGGTAAGGCATGCTGCATTTGAAAGCACAATTTGAAGTTATGAACAATATTTAAACGCTCCACAATAAAGTCAGGCCCAAAGTTGTTAACCGTCTGACAGTAATGATGTTCTGCATACTAGTCTGGATTATATACATATAAATCAATGCTATTTGGGTGGTTGACACAAATTATATAATAACATCTAAACTGTCATCAATAACTTGCACTCCAAAAAACTCAGTATTTTAGTCTTGTTTTACAGTAGGCTACAAATTAAATATTCTTAAAGGTTCTTAAAGATACTTGAGAAGCAAAATGACACATGATATTCAGTTTTATCAAAATTAAGTGATTATGCTTAAAACGAGAAGAAAAACTGCCAATGGTGTAAGAATAATGACCTTTTTCTGCTTTGAAGTTTATTTTTTCTGACCAATTGGCAGATATTTTTTGTAAGAATACTATAAACAAACTTAATTTTGATACATTTTTCAGAAAACAAGACTTAATATCTTAAATAATTTTGCTTCTCAATTAAATATTTCATGCTTTAATAATGTTTATATATCTGTACAAAAAAACAAGACAAGTTAGAAAATATCTATATTTTTTTTGCCTTATAGGAGAAAAAGTGTAGCTATATCTCAGGTGCTGTGTCACCATTTTATTTTAAATTTATAAAATGTTTACCATTTTGTGGAAGTTAACTTAAATAGCTGTGCAAAATGAAAAAAATATTTTATAAGTAGAAATGTTTGCCTCTCAAATAATGTTGTCATAAAAACCGTAGGTATAATTATTATATTAGATATGGGGTTTTCAGCCTGTACAAACTCAGGGTGCCCCGGTATAAAAATTTTCTCCGAAATATTTAATAACTTTCATTAAGAACTTCCCTTTTAGAGGGAATAGCCATACTATTTAGAGAGGAAGCATATTTGGCATATACTGTACTTGACAGCTGCTTTTGTAATAATATCTAAAGCAGTGGTTCTTAACATTTTTTATATCTCAAAATATTTGTCATAATGATATGTCATAAAAAAATTAATGAATTAAAAAATATGTCAGTTTAATTTTGTGCTTTTTTATTTTATTTTAATTTATTTTTTTTAACTAAATTTTACTAATTTTCTGATTTACTGGTTGAAAACAACTGAGAGTATGGTCTTGTTCATAACAGATGGCGAAGATATGCCTCACAGTAGATTCACTCCTTAGAAAGTTTAAATTGCTTTGAGTAGAGTCAGACCCTCCACCTGCTTCAACCCAGGGGGTCTGTTAAGCTCATCAGTATTTAACTATTTACCCCTTCCCCTCAATCACACCCCTTTTATACCCCAATCATGACACGGTATGAGGCACTTAAAAGTTGTGACATCATCATCACTCTGGCTATTGGGGGGTATGTGTCTGTGAAAAGTAAGGATTATCTCCCTAAAATTGCTAGGGTCGGCTGTAATTGTAATGATTATGATCTATGCCCTTGATTAAATCATATCTGATCTCCTTGAGCCTAACAAATGAATTCAAAACTCAAAAGTTAAGCGATTTCCAATTAAGCAACAGATAAATTTGACCTATATATATTTTTTGTATTGGCTCCATATTTGCCAGGAAAAATGCAGCCAAATCTTCGAACTTGTTCCAACACTGGAGTGTTTCTTAGGGCACTGAAATGTCTAATGGCTGGCTGACTGCATCCATGCACTATCCCCTCAACCAGTCTTTGAACTGCTGCCATTTGAACCTTTCCATGAATGTAACAGCTGTAAATCACAAGCACTTCAGTTCTCAATGACCTATTAGGGGTTTATCTGGGGTTTAGCATCTTTTATTCAAAGCAAGGCGTAGCTAAAGAACCTCTGCATGCCCAAACATCAGCAACAAAGTGGACTCTTTAGGGAATAAAAGACTGCAGTTTGTATTATTAGTATTTTTTAATAGACTCTATTATTTCAATAAGCTTCAGTGAGCCTATTCCTTGGCTTCCTAATGTATTTGGATAAAATTGGACAACTTAATCAGGTTTAATTAAAGATGATATGAATCCTGAACCTAAACTCTTTACCTTTTTAGCATCCTTGCAATGAAACACAGCACAGTCACAGCACAACCTTGAACTGGTTTTAATAGTTTTGATTGGTTAAGAATGAACACCGACTTTAAAGCACAGCAGGAACTTTTTTTAAATAGTGGAGAACCATATGGATGGCTGGTAGATCAAACAAAGGCATGTATTTATTAAGACATTTATGACTGAACAAGAGTTGCACAAGAAACAGTAGCTTTTAACAAGCACCATGGGTTAGCTTTTTTTCTGTTGAATGTTTATTTGGTTACATTTTCTGTTTAATGTTTATTTGGTAATATTACTTTTAACTACACTAGGCTAGGCTTTAAAACTAATTTCATTGAAGAGACCTGTTTTACCTCAAAATAAGTCATAATACTGTAGGTATGTGCTGTGCATTAATAACGTCTTGTTTACCTCACCCTAATTAAACACTAAAATATCGAATGATTGTTTCAGTTGTGCCGTATACCAGTTCCTTGGGTTTTATGTTCATGTCAACAATTTGCCTTAAGGCTAATGCATGCCTTGCTTATGTTCTGTTCAGAATTGTTGGTACTTCAAAACACACCTTGAAACTGTCTTTTATGTTTCCTTTTTGTGTGTCTCCAGAGATTAAGCCCGTCGGCAGTTCTTCCCCAGGTAAGTTCAGTCTTTCTTTTGAGTCAGAGATTGATGAACCTGAAGACCCCTAATTCACATGCGCTAAATCATTGCCATAATTCTCATTCAATTCATTTAAATCATTTTAACACTGCCACATTGAAATAGTTTGAGCTCATTGTCTAATAAATGCACAATACTATTAGATCTGCCATTTTCCATTTAATATGAGGATTCATTCATTTGAATTTAATCCCACTAAGCACCATTCAGCCAACGGGTTTGATGTAATCACTGAGGATCAAGCATGCACCATCAGGACATATTGTGCTTTTTCCTCGTATACGCTGCCAACAGCCTATCTGCCTTCACCCCTGTAGAGGCTGTGCCTTAACTTGTCGGATGTTGCTAAGGAGTTATGCAATGCTTTGAGGTGTAGTGTCTGCAGATGGTTGGTGCACTCTCCTGACACCATGAACAGAAGATTTGCAGTGTGTTGTATTGCTCTAATCAGGCATGAACAGGACAGAAAATTATGTTGGTTTTATGCATCGCAGTTTAAGGCAGTGTTGCCTCTTAGTAAATGGAATTATTAGTCCTGATAGTTTACCACTCTTTTCTACACCAGTAGTTGCTGATTCCTGTCGCACAATTTGTTTGCTTCCATTCTTGTTTTATTGAAATGTTGTCTAATATTGTTGCGTACAATTTAATTCAGTAGGAATGAATAGGCCAGGTGCTTGTTAGTTTTTGCTGTAACATTGACTTTATTTTGTTGGCACTAATGATGTAATTTTAAGTCAATTATGTTATGTCAGGGGTCAGGTTAAACTATTCAGCTTAAGTGTTATTATAATTGGAGGTTATATGTAGTTAGTTCATCTGCTGCTGCACATGTAACATACATGAAATAACCCCTCGTAGGCAGATCTATACAGGTGGAGCTGGGGAAGGTGGAGGGTTTCTGAAAGTGCTCTGCAGACTAGGGGTGGGAATCTCTAGGCACCTCACGATTCGATTCGATTACGATTCAGAGGGCTGCGATTCGATGCTAAATCGATTATCAGAATCTTTTTTTTGTGTGTGTGTGACTATAAATACTTTGCTTTAAAAGTACAAAGTAATGACCCATAAAGAATTAACGTACAATATATTTTATTAACATTGCAAAGAACCAACAGGAAAATACATGTGTGTCTGAACTAGCAGCAGCATATTTGTAGTAAATTAATAATATAACAACGACCGGTAACGTTACAGCCGAGTGTTTTTCCTCCTCTGGCTGGAAACGTGTCATTTGGCTTCATGTGTCTTGTTTCCGAAATATTTTAGTTTTACTCTACAAAGCTTACAACTAGTGTGGCTCTTGTCCAGCTCCTTTCCCCCTTCAACTTCAGAAGCCAAAATATTTCCACACGTCAGCTTTTAACGAGGAGGGTGTTTGGATTTGGCGCTCAGCCATCGCGTCCGCGTCTGTTATGTGCACGCCACAGACGGTCCGGCCACTGCACTTCCGCGCTTCAGAGTTCCGTCTTTCGCGTTCCGTCAATATTACGTTATTATAAATATATATCTAAAAAAAATTTTTTTTTTTTTTTGAAAATCGATTTTTGACAATTGTGAATCGATTCAGAATCGTCCACGTCCGCATCGCGATGCATCTAAGAATCGATTTTTTCCCCCACCCCTACTGCAGACTGGTAACAGCAACACTACCGGTATTTGAATGTTGAGCCGCAGCTCATTGGCCACTCATTGGATCTAGAGTTGCATGCCAGAACTTGGTATTTATGTACAGAAAAATAAGGCAATTTGATCTAGAGAATCATAGCCTGTAAATCCCACCCATTCAAATAGCTTTTGGTGAATTTAAACTGGATAATAGGCATCTTGCATAATATAAATGACATAGGAAATAGGACTGCATGCATTTTGATATTTTGTACCTCAGCAATGACAACCTTAAAGGGTAACTAAACACTAAACCAACTTTTTTAAATTAATATTCTGTAAGACTGTGGCTTTATTAGTGCTGTTCATTGATTCGAGTAACTTTTTTGACATTTGGGTATAAAGTGTTTTAATTCTACAATATATGGTGTAAAAACGTCTGAGTGCTGCCCTCTTCAGGTTGAACGGTGGCTACTGCAGTTGAATTTTCCTATTGGATGTTTGCGTTAGTTCATGACGGTAGCGGTGAGAGCTGACGTAAGCAGGTTTCAGCTTACCACGCCCTTGGTACGAGCTACCACGTCCATGGCAGTATAAAAACCATCTTGTTTCGTCAACCACTGTAGCGAGTCAGGAGTTGGAATTGCGAGTATTGAAAACGATCAGGATAGACTAGAGCATAGGTTCTCAAAGTGCGGCCCGCGGGCCAATGGCGGCCCGCCGAAACATTTCTGGCGGCCCGCGATAACATCTGTAAAACTGTTAAAACTATTGCTTTGAAAAAATGAATATCTCCGTTTAGTGGTGTTTAGCGGCATCCATAGGCATAAGCGGTAATTACATGGTCCGACCGACCGATCGCACTTGACCTCACCCAAGGCCACCAGGAACAGTGGTTGTCTACACAGAAATAGGAATCGTGGCCAACCGAAACCAGCACCACAAATCTCATTGCAATTTAAAAGGGTATGTTGACCAAGTAATCAATATTCAATGTGACTTAATAATAATCTTAACAATGTCAAGCTTATTAATAGCCGCGTTTCCATTACCTTTCAAAATGTTCGCGGGCGCGAACACTTCCATTTTCCTATCAACAGTGGAAACAACTTAAACTAGTCTATCATTTCTGGTCATACAGAAAATAATAATGCATTATTCGCAACTACTTTTGTTTGTGTAAACTCATAACAAGAAAACGTGCTTTTGTAAAATAAAATAAAACAATCAGTAGCCTAGGCTACTACGCGCTTTCATGATCTCCGTGAACTGGAGCGCGAGAACTGAAACAAAATATAGCCTATGTAGGCTAAAGCTTAAAATGTGCACTTTTAAACAAACAAACTCGAATCGAAAGCAAATACCTGATTATGTAATCCGTATGAAAGGTGGATTTCTCTCTAAAAGCGCATCTGCTTAACAGCGGAGATGGAGATATGTTTTTAGCCGACACTTAGAAAACAATAGTTTATTAATAAACAATTAAAATGCCTCGCTGTTTTTTCAGACGCATTTATTATCATTAGCCTATAACTCACCTATAAATCAGGCTAGATCAGACACGTACAGGCTATATGGCTCTTCTCATTCATCACTGCGGGAAAAATATAAATTTTCTAATTTGTTAGTCTTGTTGTTGTGGTTCTAATTTGGCCTTAGAAAACCAGTAAAATCGACATGTTTTCCATATTAATTTGTGAATATTTAAAATGTTTAATAAAGGGGCAGAAAGTCATTTAAACAAAAATCTGAAAAAGTCTGTCGATATTTACTTTGCGCAGCAGTTGGTGAAGCCAGTTCAAATTAAATTTTTGTTCAACTTTGCGTTTTAAAAAGACAACAACCTTTCATTTTTCGTTTTTCAGTTACAGGTTAAAAAAGATAGATAATATGCAAATCTGCAATAATGGAAACGCGACAGACAAGCAATGATAGAAATAAATGATGATGATGACTTGTTTGGTAAGCTTCTATTTTAAAAGTTTCTTTCTCTCCCCCCAAAAAATTTTCACAAGTTTTGCCAGGTTTAGCCTCAGTTATGAATTAAAATGTGTTTATTGCAACTAATGTAAACTGTAGAGATGCAACCTGGTCATTAAAATAATTTCAAATGGGATTTTCTTTTCAGTTTTTTTTTCTTCGTTTTCTCCCCCGCCACTTTGGCGGCCCTCAGTTCAATGTTGGGTTCCTAAATTGGCCCTCACCTATCAAAACTTTGAGAACCCCTGGACTAGAGTATCCGTTCATCCCCTCTATCTCCGCTGGGCTCCGCCCACTTTTCCAGCATTTTTCAAATATTGCCAGTGGGTGGAGTCAGGCTCTGACCAGGGGTTTAGTTACCCTTTAACCCTGTAAAGCATGAAATAATAATGTATACATGGAGCTCATATAGTACCTGAGAAGGCCCAAACTGAGCCAAACTATGAAATTTGGTGCAGTTTCTGATATTTATATGGCCAGAAATTACAAATTTAATAAACCATTGAGATCATTGTAGCAGACAACTTACAGAAAATAAATATCAGTTGTTACTCTATATCTCCCAATAATATGTCTGATAAGATGATATTTAAATGCTTAGTTTTATGATTAAAGCTCTGTAGTTTTTGATTGCCACGCACTACACTGATGATTGAGAAATGTCCAAATAAACATTCCTCAAAACTAAAGCCTGATGTATCATATTTGATACATTTTAACATGATTTTTTCTAAAAAAAAGGAATGATAATTAAGTATACCTAATCTAAAACTAAAGTGTTCATCTTTAAATATTTCTAACAATATTAAAGTTATTTTCACATTTACCTTTTTAGAATGACAGTAAAGGCCTTTTACTTGCTAAAAAGTATGAACCATCAATCAAACAACAAAAGGCACGTAGTAGATTGTGTACAAGAGGGGTTTCAGCGACGTTTTGATCATGTTGATAATTAGAGGCTTTAGAAATTTGTGAATCAAATATGACAAAGTAGGCTTAAGTATGTTAAGATAAGCATATTTGCTTACAGTTGTGAATGTATTTGACTCATTAATCCTGGCATATTTGTTGTTCTTCTGGTTGGTTGAGTAGTGAAGGATTTGTCACACTTCTTGGTTCTGTGTTTTTGAAGTGCAGGTTGTTAGATTTGTGCCATACTGATTTGATTTTTGTGTCATTTGACCATAAAACCTTTCATTTTTGAGCTCAAATATGGCTCTTTTGAGTGCCATCCTCTGTTTCACTTATTTGAGTGATAGCGTCTACTGTTCCACCCTCCTTCATAGGCTAGTGTTATGCAGAGCTCTTGATATATTTAACAGCAGCACCTTTACACTACTGAACTTTGTTTATTCCACAGAACGATCTTGGCGTCGCTTTGCTTCTGT